CTTGCATTCTGTGGGGGCTCTCACGGGGACGACAATATTATTATATGTTTCATTTTCGCTGAGCGGCCTTCTGAAGGCCTAAAAATTGGTAGGGAAGTGGTCCAAGGTTCAATCCCTCTTGATGACAGAATTTTTGCACTTTAGTTGGAGCTTCGAAATTTCCTTAAAATAGCGCCAGCACCAGTACTAGGTATCGTACTCATCATTAAGACCATGAGCAAGAAATGCAGTCAAACTTTTTCCAGAATCTGTGGAAAAAAGTTGTAGCGCCAGAAAGGCGCCAAACGGCGCCAAACTAGCGTAAATTGAAGCTATCGGATAAAATTAATGTCATATTCGTGATCAGGGCACTCGATATTCCCTAAATCAGAAGTTCTTGAGAAAATTGAGAATTTGACCTGGATCCGAAAAATTGGCCAGTGATAGGTCAGTAGCCCATAGTTGCCTCCAGCCGGTGCACTGGAAACGAGTTCCCAGTTATCCTTCTCAAATAACGAGAAGTATCACTGCTAAATGGACAATGGGAGACACCCAGGCTGGTAATGGGCAACAGGGCACCATGATTTTGAAGTCGGCAGATTCTCCCCTTCATCAAGACGTGGTAATTGGGTCCACGGCTCCTCCACTCGCAAGGCTGCATGTCCATAGATGGAGCGATTTCAAGGACTGCGACATGATGGAAGATGTTCCCTATGAAACCGAACTTTAGTTCCCGTGAGCCGACAAGGCATTGCGCTTGATTTCGGCGCCGCACTCGTATTCAAGTCGCTCGGCTACAGGTCGTCATACCTGTAGCCCATGGCCACCCTCTTTTTCGAAGTTAGGTCAAAACCTAGATTTTTCCTGAAATTTGGCATGTGGGGGTAGATCAGGGTCCTGTACACGATTATGGCGTTCGTTTTTGACGTCGGCGCCATTTGGCGCCAGTTTGGCGCTGCGAACTTTTTCTTCCAATTTTTGGTAGAAAACCCATTTGCAAGGGCTACTGACGGTCCTGAATGAGAATATAGCGTTAATTTTGACGCTGAAGCAATTTGGCGCCAATTTGGAGGTGATTATCAAAAATGCAAAAACTAGCCCAGGAGCGGACTCGATCCACAAAGTCGTGCCAACCCCAGTCCACCACGCTATCCACTCGGCCACCTGCTCGCTGCGATGTGTAGGGTGCCGACGACGCCTATGAAACCTCTACACTTTCTTCAGCAGTACCACGTACAGTGCTTCAATTTTGAGCGAATTTCGAGTTGTTTTCGATATTATCTTCATCGGCGCCCTTCAAAATGCAGGTGGTCGTTTGTACAGGTCCGAAACTTCACTCCAAGGCAGCAAAAACCACCCCTTCTTAACGAATTTTTTTCGACCATTTTTTGGCCTTCAGGGGGCCGCTCAGCGAAAACGAAACGCAGTATTGTGGTCTACGTGAGAGTCCCTACAGCATGCAAAAAACCGTTTTGAAAAAGCTTCCCACACCCTGAACGACCTCCCTTGTAAGACCACAATGATCGGCCATTCCGCCCACATTTTCCTCCAAAATAGGAGGGAGTGCAGGGGGGGGGGATGGAACTTTTGCAAACTCATCGAAAAAGCCGTCAAATCCCTTCCAAATATAACTCCCTTTCTACGACTACATCACACTTTTCCCAGGAGTGGCTAAGCTTCCTTGCTCAACCCACAAATGCGACCACCCCCTCCCCACCTCCCTTCGCAAAATCACAACTGCGACCCCCTTGTTTGAATAGTGTGAGCGGAGGGTTGGCCGCAGGGTCAACCCTATGTTGCTACAAGTAGCAACGGGGGGGGGTCGTATTTTGATGAGTTTGTAGAGGGGGGTCGTACTTGCTTCGGTTGTAAGAAGTTGCATGTGATGAGTGGGGAGCGGCGCGGGAGAAAATTTGCCGTTTCAGCGCGCGTATATACCCCCCCCCCCCGCTCGACGGTAATTTTTTGGGGTAAAAATTGTTTTGAAAGAGGGGGTCGTATGAAACATTTCATGAGGGAGGGGGGTCGTAAAAACTTTTTGAAAAGTAGCAACGATAGGACCGACCCTGGTTGGCCGTGCTTGGTCGAGCACTATTCGGAGGACCTTGCACCAGAGCTGCGCTCCAGCAGCGCTCCAGTGCTCAACGGTGCCAACGTGGATTACCGTGAACCATCTGACGTGCTGAGAAAGCAATCGTATATCAGTCGTATATATAATATGACTTTGTACTTTTCCTGGACCTAATGCAACGTGACATACCGCTGGAATTTGTGGAGCCTGAATCAAAACAAAGTGTCGTTGCCATAATGCAGAATGCTTTATTTCTGAAGAAAATTATTCAATTACAAATATGTACGCTATCTTCGATGAATTTACACATCTGCGCCCTAGAAACTTCAACATTTTTCAGCACAGGAGCGGGTGCCTGTTCATGTATAAGAGAATCAGATACCGTAAAACATTCGAACGTGTTTAATGGACTAGGATTCGCTGTATGTTGCTAAGGTATTCGCTTAGTTTGTGTTATTAAGCCCTTCTAAATCAATTGATGCTGGGCGCTGAGGTCGATTGTTAAATGGGAAAGTGGGACGAGTACATAAGAATGAGACCAATGCGACAACTCTCAAACGGAAGAAAGAGCTAGAGAAATGCGGTAGCTTCATTCACTAAGCTGGTTAGCCTCAGACAGAAGGAGGGGATCTCCGACTTATGGCCATTCTACCTCAGAAGGACACTTCAGTCTGAATCCTCCTAGAACCGATTTTATATGGTTTCCTCTGCAGCGAAGACGATTCTGTCGATCACCTCTGTTCCCATTGTAAAGCTATGATCTTGATTAGCTGCTTCATATCGCCAGCTGCCGAATCTGAATAAAAGAATAGCACGGATCATCTCGCAACGTTGCAAAAACAAAGCCAGCAACAAACAAGTACCGTCCACGAGAATAGATGTTCGCCATTTCAAGTAATTTGTGAGCTTTTTGTAGTTCTTTGTCTCGGTTCAGCGTTGGAATCGGATATCCATACGGTAGCACATGCAACCATGTGGATTCTATCCTACTTGTTGGGTAGATGATTCCGTGCTCCATAAGGTCTGAAAGAATACGATAAGCTGGCAATAAGCTGTGGAAGGCTGGTGTCAGGGTCCGCGATCCGTCGCAGTTTCGCGAGATTCGCGCGATTCGCGCGGATCGCAATTGCAAGTGCCCCATTTGAACATTTGAAACACTGAATATGAAACAAGTGGAATCATGAACAGTCGTCATTCAGCCATCACCCAAGCAGAAATGGCGGCGGGATTGGAGAACACCTTGCAGTATTGATCGGGCACTTGTGATTTCCGTGACCCGTCGCGCGAATCGCGCGAATCACGCGAAACCTGCGACGGATCGCGGACTCTGACACCAGCCTTAGTGTGCCGGCAGCAAGGGCTGAATGGCTTGCCGTATCACTGGAGCATGGTTGTGAAAATGGTCGACTATGCGCGTGTGAGAGATACTCATCTCCGAGTATGAGCCTACGAAACACGCTGGTGAGTAGTCTCGAGTGTTGTTTAAAACCAAGGCCAAGCGAAGTGAATTTTGAATATAGACCCTTATTACGCTTCAAATAGTTCACCAGCCATCGCGAAAATGCCACATCTGGCTTTCCTCGCCGCTTGGCTACTGCTTCTAGTGGCCCATAAACTTTCTGGTGTGTACCTACTTTATCAAAACCTCTGCTTTTTAATTTGCTCTGCGGACCCGATAAATCCTCACCTTTGATAGTACAATCTATAACTGCGTCCTCATCAAAATCTTCGTCAGAGCTCATGCCAATTTCCACCAGTACAGACCAGAATAGCACAGCATTAGGCGTGAGACGTTCGTTGAAGTTGGACATAAATGTACACCTGGAAATAAAAAGATCGTTTTACTTTTCACTCAAGAACAACCAACAACGTCTGAAAAACCCCCAAAAATGGAACAGCTTACCTGTAGAAAATAATGTCTGGCTGGGGGAAATAAAGCCAAGAGAGCTGTTCCGTGAATTCTGGTTGAGGTCGTCGCATGCCGATTCCAACAAGAACAACCTTCAAAACGAAGTTGCAATTATACATGTGGAGGGCATATACAGGGGGGGCCAAAAAAAAAAGACATTTTGCCCATGTCGCACTTCGGCCTTTTTTCTTCGCAGAGATTGCCGTCGTTGACGGAAGTTCCTCAGCAAAATATTCCCTAAATGTCCCTCTATAAGTACACGCAGGCCCTCCTTCACTACCCTCACCGTCTTCAGAATATGACGTCATCTGTCACCGTCGTCGAGCTCAGGGAGGCCTACAGTAACTGCTTCAGCCTGAAGCTCTTACATAATTTCTTGGATCGATTCAACGTGGGATAGTTTCCTAGGGACATTAGCTCTAACTATGCAAACCCCCTCGGAACCCGCCCTTCGGAACCCGTCGTAACGGTACACGATCAGTCGAGAACCCCATTGAGCTCGACCAGAGCACCATGTTTCCGGGGCAAATTTTCTGATGCCGTCCACGTAGATGGCCACTATGAAGATTTTCTTATGAAATGAAATGCGCTCTTCAATTCTAAGTTGGGAGCACACGCTTTGAGCTGAGCAAAGTGTGATTAAATCCATTTGAGTCTGGAGACAAAATGTCTTTTTTTATTGGCCCCCCTGTACGCACTTTGAAATGGAACAGGATCGAAGGAATATTTTCAAATTCCGTAAGAATTTATCTGAGTGGACAAGTCCAAACTTCTATTCAGTGTTGCGCAACTGTGTAGCATTCTCTCAAAATTACTAGGCTTACAGATTCTCAGATGAGATCAGATCAAACTTAACTACTCTATCGAAGATCAAGCAATGAAGATACATACAAGGTGGAGGAGAGTGCAAACGGCACCTCACCAGGGAGGCCTTCCAGGAAATGCCCAGCTTCTCTAAAGGATTTTTGCATGATATGGAAGCACGTGCATGGAACACAGAACTGTGGTTCATTTTTCCTGAGCGACCCTCTGAATACCAAAAAAGGAGCGAAGAAAAATTTTTGAGGAACTGCCGTTCTTAACTTTCTTCACCAATTTTTAGCCAAAATCTACGTATAAAGGTTGCTGATGGTCCTAATTATAGATATGACATGAGTTGTTTCGCTGACGCTATTTTTCGCGAATTTTGAAACGCCAACACAAAATGCAAAAAATGTCACTGCGAGGATTCGAACCACGGACCACTTCATCACCCCTTTTTTAGTATTATATTTAGAACGGCGCTCAGGAAAAAATATCAGGCAAAAAAACAGTTTCGAGAAAACAGGGAATTTCCTGAAAGACCTTCCTCGTTAGTGCGTCTCACATGAAGACCGACAGGGAGAATGAGAAGTGAGCTCTTCAAAAAACGCTTCTTTACCTTCGAATGGCTCAAACTGATTTTGGGACAAAGTGACGTCACTTTGCCCAAGCTCCACTATGGGCATCGTTGATACCACATAATCGTATTCACTCGACTCTCCATTGCCATGATGTACCTGAAATATTTTACTAGTTATGGAGGGAAGCATGCCAGCACTTGATTCCGTGATCAAATAGATCAATTTTCAAATCAAATCAGTTTTTAAAGTTGTTGCGGTGAAATATTAGTTATTTTCAAGAGCAAAGTTGGACGTATAGCAATTGAACGGAGCGTTTCTTGAGGCATTTTAGCCTAGTATGGAACGAATTGAGTTCTTCACTTGGACAGAATGTGAAGTTTGTGTTCTGTCAAACAAGCCAACGTGGAAGGAGAATGAAAACGTGAAGTGAGAGGATTTACTTGGCATAATACGTTGTTTTCCCACGTGAATGGCACCGAAAGGGACTCACCGGGTTCTTTTGCAGCATGGTATCAGAAAGGATTCAAGGAGAGACTGTTAAATCTAGGCCCCTGTGGTAAAATGGGTGTGTAGTAGCGCTCATTTATGAAGCTGGAGGGTGAGAATAATCTGGAGAAGAGGTTGGAAGCAAAAGAAACCCCGATTGCCCCCCCCCCCCCAAACAACGTGGCCTCTCTTTCGGTTGCATTCCATTCTGAAATAGACAGAGGGCGTGTTTGGACGAGTTTCGCACAGGGCTAGCTCCACTTGTATAAGTGTCAGTGACATTGAATCGCAATTTAACCGCTGAATCGCGCTTTTCTTCTAACGTCACCTGGCAGCCGTTGGCGGAAGGCGGAGCTTGTCGATGAAGGTGTGGATTGCTGGCGTTACGAGCTTATAGCACCTTTATCGCGCACTTCCAAGCCGCGACAGGGGTCAACCTTTGTACCAGGATTGGGGATAGAACAGATGAAGGTGACAAATCCCGAATTGTGCTTTCAATGTTGTGTTGCAACAGCTGAAAAGAGGGCAGCGGCTCCCCCAACTACGGCCCGAGTTTTCGACAATGCCAAAGACGATGTTCAGCAGAAAGGTTTGCGAAAAGGCTCTCTCAGAGCGATTTCCACAAATTAGTTTTCTATGCTTCTGTTTTGCATGACTTCAAAGCGCAGTCATTTTTCCAAGTGTCCAGAAAACTGTTACCGTTTTTGCCTTTGTATCTATTCTTATCACTGGTGCATCGAAGTGGAACCAATGTGACGGCAACTCGGATGCTATTGTCTTCCAGACGTCACCAATTCCTCGACAGTCTCTTGGATACCTAAGATTTGAGGTATAGTACCAGGGTGTTGTTGGAAGCTGTAAGCTCTCTAAGAAGGCTGTCACTCACCTAAACATCGATTTGGTTTTGGCGCTATCTTCATGATCAAGCTCGACACGTGTCAATCGACAGCGTCTCGTCAGATCTTCGATACTAGTTCTAGGTACTCGATTCTCTACCCAGACGCAGTTCATTCTCACTCAGAGAAACGGTCCAAACCTTAAACGCAATCTTTCGGCATAAGAGTTTCCCTATTATCGTATGTAGCAGCAACCCACCTTTTCATTGTAAGGTCGAATGAAAATTGCCTGCAGAGTTTCACCGAAAGTGTTCGAAGTGAACTCGTCGAAATTTTCTGCACTTTTGGAAGGCACTGTCAGCGAAGAAATTTCGTGCAAACATCTAAGTTTCACCGCTTCCGGAAAGTACGGTATTGAGTCTTGCACGGGATACGGTACATAGTTCGCCTCCACATTGTCATCGTCTTGTATTACATGCCTCATGTACGCCTGAAATATTTTCAATACAATATAGCTTGCAAGTGCTAGCATGGGCCTCCAGAACAACACACGTAACTTCGCGCAGTATGAAGGAGCTGCCACTGGTTAGGGGGTTTGAAGTCGAATGTAACTATGAAAAAGTTGGAACTAAGGGAGTAGAATGGTCAGTGGGAGCCAGGCATGAGAAAAACCATATCTAACACAGCGGACCAAAAACCCTAGACAAAGGGAACCACCTACACACATTATTGCGCAACTCCATTTATAGAGAGCATAATAGCATAAAGCCTCATCACAGGCCCGGTGCCCCCTCACTTCAACCCACTACAACCGCTCCTCACCTCTGCTCACGAACCTCGAGCGACAAAAGAGGTTAGAGATAAACAAAATATCCGGTGCAGGACCACGTCCCCATCAACCAACCCTCACCAAGCACGGTGAGCCAACTGCACTAAGAAAATATCGACTGCAGTTAACCACTATCTTTCAGCCATAAACACCCATTGGCGGCGAGCCATCAAGTCCACACACACCAACCCGAGCACGTCCCCCACATGATCAACTTCATCCGCAATATTCCCCCCCTCCTCTTATAGAGACCCTTACGCGATATAATCTACACGAGCCTGAATATCTTCTTCACATATCAAAACCCACCACATAGCCCCTACGTCTAGCCCAAGAAACGATACAAACAAGAACCACAACAAAAATGTAAAGGTATCACACAATACGAACTTCCTCCCTCGAAGTACTCACTTGACACACTGAGAGTCGCGAGCACACGATTGTATCGCCAGGCTGCCCCGCACCAGCCTCAGATTGAATGAGGTGCCCTGAATTAAGGATATTTTGGCCATAACCTCGAACTTTGAACTTAAATAGTAAGCAACAATCAAACTGCTGAGAAATGATGTAACAAAGCCGCATCGCTCTAGGTATATTTAAACCTTGCATACCGCGATCAGTTTATATGCACCAAGCCACTGATGGTTAACCCCACATAACACACTCAGTAAAAGCAATCTATATTACCATCAAACAATATTTTAGTTTTACTATTCCTAAACTACAACAAAAAAAAAACAGACTTCAACTACCACCCCACAAACGTCTCTATATAACCAACCGCTCGATGGCGCAGTAATCGACAAAAACCCCAACACCGGTGGGCTCGACACAGCACCTCTAACCAACACATTATTCCTAATATCAAAATAAACCCCGACATTAATTAAAAAGCGATTTTCAACATCACTACATAAAATATGCGAGGCACATAACCAATTTTTCGCATTTTTTCCATATAGAGAATCAAAATTTCCCAGAACAAGCCGTCATGAAGAAGCAAGGCAGCGATCACCAGCCAAGTGGCAATCGACAGTTGTTACTCAAATAATATCACACATATCAATGAGCGGAAACCTCACTGTGTGAACAACAAAAAGCATATTTCCAAGCTGCCACGCACCCGACAGGGTCGGCCACACGAAAAACAACAAACGGGACATAGATATCAACACCAATAGAACGTTGAAGAACTTTTCGCACATATTAAGTGTTTTGAAGCTTTTTGAAATAAATTTTGGAGCCTCAATCTGTTGTTTAACATTTAGATCCTTATGAGGCTTCGGGACAGCACCATACTGAGTGATCTAAATTTGTTATTTCTTATGAATTTGGCACTATTCAACTATTACAACCCCAAAATCTCAAAATTTTATTTTTCGTCGAAACTTCGCCCATAGGGGTAATTCGATGCCCTGATTACGAAAATGACATTCATTTTTGGCGCTGGCGCCATTTGGCGCCATTTGGCGCCAGGCTATTTTCACCAAATTCGCTGTAAACTTGTATACAGGGGTTATTTGGGGTCCTGATCACGAATATAACATTCATTTTTCCGCTAGCGCCAGTGGGCGCCTGTTTTCCGCTCGTCTGCGCCCTCTCACTGATCACCTCGCGATCGGGACTAAGCCTTTGAGGAGGAGAGTGCTCCGAAGTGAATAACACTTATCCTGTGATCTTATACGCTTTACGTTTGCCACATGTTGACTGGTTCACCCACCCCGGAGTCCTCCCTCCTTCTAGGCTCAGTCCTAGGTATTATGTACAAGTGAGAGGGCCCAGGAAAATGGAAAATGTGCGTTGAACGGTGGAAATGCTAAAAACGAATGACATATCCGTAATCAGGACCTAAATAACCCCTGTATACAAGTTTACAGCGAATTTGGTGAAAATAGCCCTGGCGCCAAACTGGCGCCAACGCCAAAAATGAACCTCATTTTCGTGATCAGGGCATCGAATAACCCCTATAGGCGAAGTTTCGACGAAAAATAAAATTTTGAGATTTTGGGGTTGTAATAGTTGAATAGTGCCATAAATTTTGTAAATTTCAATACTGTTTAGAAAGAGCTCTTTACAAAACTCCCAAATCTGCTTTCAGATTGAAAATTCGTCATATTTGAAGAAAGTTATAATCATTTGAATATTTGTTCAAATTTCAATAGTAAATAAGCTGCTCCACGGTCAACGCCAAAGTCCAGTCAACACACAGCTGGCGAAGGCGGTTACAAGGCTTCTTTCAGCTAAAATGGGGACGTGTAACCAGAGTCAACCCTGCGTTGCGCAGTTCGCAACGGCACGTTGAGAGATCCTCAACGCACGCTGTATGGGCGGAGACACAGACGGCTCGAGCATGCGAGTGTGAATGTTCGCGCGAGAGAACGTGTCTAATCGGGCGAAACTGCGCAACGTGGCCGTTGAAAACTGCGCAACGCAGGGTTGACTCTGCAAATTGAGAACCATACTCTGTGTAGTACTAGAATTTGGTAAGTCTTGTGGAAGGAAATAAATAAAGAAGAGATGTTGTCATAGTATGCCATTTTTAGTGACTAGTTTGTCGTTTTTGCTCCTTTTCACTTCTTTTCTTTGCTCCTTTCTTTGCCTCTGGGGGAGGAGGGGGGTCGTACTTCCAACTTTTCCTCAACGGTTCGCTTGACCCTGTGAAGGGGGGCGTGCTTCCGCTTATGTGAGACATCCAAGGAATATTTTGTCGTTTTAGCATGAACGGTGGCCCCGTGTGCAACGGAAGTTTGGTGATGTGCGCTATGAGAGAAGGGTTCTTTGTTTACCACCCCCCTCACCCTGCATGTTAATTTTTTCGCTCAGAATGCAGAGCTTCTTTGGTAAAAAAGAGCACGGAGATATCTAACAGAATACCAACGCACCTGTTACATGTACACCAAGATCCCATGTAAAGCCTCGTCGATCAGTGACTGAACGGGCTAAACCGCCTACTTCAATCTCCTTCTCGAGTACGGTAACCTTAATATTGACCATTTGGTGAAATTCATGCTTAGCTAAGAAGGCGGCGGTAGCAGCACTTACCTGTGTGGATTCAGGTAGACTACCTTCATGAATGAGCTCGTGGAGTCTATAGGCAGCACCCAAAGCGTCGGACCGCTGCCAATAATTACAAACTTCTTTCCCTCAGTACTTACCATCATATCAGCTCATTTGAGTAGGTACAAACTGAAATGAGACTTTGTTTTGTCATCAATGCTTGGGTAACTACAAATACATTGCGCGAATATGCCCTATTATCAAGTTGTGGCGTTATTCAGTCTGTGACCCACGGTCGCTGTAGCGCGGTGTGTGTTTGATGGCGTCATTTGTAGAAGGGCATCAAGAGGTGGTTTCAATCACATTGTGATGAGTACTGTACTCCACAATTGAAGTACGACGAAGTCGTCAATACCGCACCGCCCCAAGCCATCATGATCAATTCCCTCAAATGACAGCATCTAGAATAGAGAAAGCACGATGCGGAAAACGGAGATGTTTTGCTTGCATTTCGAGCAAGTCTAGGATTGTGTAAAATCGGAAGTGATGCGTGAGGCTTCACATGCTAATATTCAGTTTCTATGGAAATCAATGCAATCGAAAAGTCGTACTTATTCACCAGAGGGGCGTGGCCAGGTCCAAGGCGTAGAGGAGTGGATTGGAACCGTTCCGACCAAACACGTAACGCACAAAGAGATGACGTGATAGCGTCTCGTTTCGCACGGTTCGCGGTCGATTTGAGAAATTTGCTTGCCCTTTCTGTTTTTTTTTTCGTAGGAGAAACGGCTAACGGTTAAGCAATCACAATTTTCTTCTATTTTTTTCTGAAATGGTTTTGGCTTTCCTTCATTGTTCGTGTTAGTGTACTGGTGCCAATCTAAAGTGCGGCGCGCAGCGGTTCTGGAAGACGGGAAGAGCGCTAAGTGCAATCTCTCCATCTCTTCTCGTCTTCCAAAACTGAGTATACATTGCCCCCTTTCGCACATGGTTTCCAACATTATGAAGAAAACCAGACATGAAGAAACACTATCGATAGTTTCACAAGAATGCTGGGTTGTGAACAAAACCTTTCGTCCCAGACGGGACTCAAACTCGCATCTATCGTGACCTCTGTGCCTCTGAAGAGAGGGATTATATCATAAGTTAGCCCATTTGAAACTTGTTCGCCTGATTTGAATTGATTGATTCGATTTTGATTTATTTCGAACCGACAAGACAAGATAAAAAAATTTCGCAAGAATGCTGGGTTGTGAACAAAACTTTCGCCCCAGGCGGGACTAGAACCCGCACCTCTCGCTTTCCGGGCAAGTGCGCTACCAGTTACGCTACCGGGGCACCATTTCATCCCAACTCAGCTTTTCATGGTATACGTACCATAGCTTTCAGCACTCACACGTATAACGTGTTGAGCCGGTTAGCCGATATCGGCAATGACCGCGAGGCTGAAAGCTTTAGCAATGAATTTTGACTTGTTTTTGTTTGTTAACTGCTGTTTTGCCGCAGTTCGCGTTGCGAATGTTTCACAAGAATGCTGGGTTGTGAATACATAGTGGCCGATAGTTATGATAAGATTGAATGGCTGAGTAAAGAGCTACCAACAATTGTAAATTGTAAGCCACAGCTATGATTTCTGTAGGCATATCTGTTTTCTGCATGAACATTTTCAAAGCTTAGAACAACTGGGGATCGTCAATAGCCCCAAGATGCGCACTGATATCGACTTCCGTTCACAATCGTAGCAACATTTCTACACGCATCAAGTCTATGTAGGCTAGAACTGCCAAAGCGCAGGTCCATTTCAAGGCTTTGCCGAAGCAGTCCAGCATAAAGCCTCAGAGATATAAAGAGTATTTTCGCCGAACTCATCATGCCATGATTTGAACTTGGATTATCCTGACAAGTGAGTCTAGTATTAACTAGGCGACTTTTCGTTCGAAGGATTGGTTGGTCTGGGTAAAATCCAATCACCTGTTCCTACTCTTTTCGCCTTTTACGTACCCTCCCCTTCAAAAAGCGAGAAAGTGTCGGGTGCAGACCATGCACCACAAGTGACGACGGCCTTCACAAAATGTTAATGTTTTCTGCCAATGAAATGATTAGCCTGTTGCAGTTGTATTCTATCGATTGTCACTAATTACAACTATCATTTACCAGAAATCAGCTATCACTATGAACAACTTCTAACCAGATTTACTTGGAGGCCGTCGTCAGTTGTGGTGTTTGGTCTGCACCCGACACTTTCTCGCTTTTTGAAGGGGAGGTTAATTCACATTGAAAGACAAGATTCGTGGTTTCCAATTGTTTTACTGTAATTATGCGACAGACACAAGAGAATTCTGTACAAGAAGGATGACCACCAGAAGGCAAATAACAACGCATATAGCGAATATAATAACAGAAAGTTGAAATAAAAGGAATACAGCTGGACAATGGCCAAGGTGAATGGCCAGGTGGACGGAAAACTAAACGACGGTGACACAAGGTCATTCAATGGGGGTCGCGAATGACGAATGAGTAACGTTCGATCGGGAGTCGATAAACGGTGTGAATCTTCACCTTAGCAACGTTATTCTTATGTCCTATTCCTTCAATATATTTGGTACACTATCACTGAGTATCGCTGAAGTCGTTCGCTCCCTCGCTTCCTTCTTCTTTTGCTCATTATTCCGAATTCCTTATCGCTTTTACCATCAGAAAACGTCGGCATGTTTTATGCGGTGTAAGTCAGTGGCGTATACTGAATAATCTCAAATCGATGCGGCAAGAATTACGTGTCTTAGACCGTGGATATCCGCTTCACTACGCTTTCATTTCTTCTATGAATATAGCGTTTGAGGAGCGAGTCCTTTAGCGGCTTCAAACATAGAGGACAAGAAATTCTCAATTTGATTTCCGTCGTCATTCAGCAAATGCCATGATTTTCCCCAGTTTTTTTTCTTTCAATGAACGACTCTTTTTCAAAAACTTATTTTTATTTGTTATAGTTACTAATGAGCCCGAGCAAGATTAATCTCAAATATAACGACTTCCTTATTAATGTTCAGTTCATGTCTGATTACTGCTAGTTTTATATGGCATTCAGCAGAGCCTATCAAGTCGGTACCTGCCGCAATTAATTTCACCATCATTTACACATTTTTGTTTGCTGTAGGTATAATAAATTAAATTTTGTGACTTTTCATGC